GCGAACATGTCAGGAAGTCATGAAAAACAAAGAAGCTTCAACTAAATATTAAATGAGACCAAAGAAAGATATCATATTTTAATTGAATTATTATTATTATTTTTTTAAAGTTCGTCTCTATTATTTTTTCCAGGCTGTATTACAAAATGTATTAATTTCCATTTTTTAAATCAAAGTTATCAAATAAAAACCACTCAATAATTATTGAATTTCCTTATTTTTTCATTACCTTTTGCAGCATATATTTTATTTCGTCTAAAGTTAACGTAAAGTTAAAAACTTGATAACCATTGCTGTATCCCTATTTTTTTTCCAACACTGTATAATAACAATAACAAATTTAAAAAAGAAAATCTCCATATGCATGAATAGGAAAATTTTTCCGAAAAAGAGGAGTTTTAACGAATTGTCTAATCATCACATGGCAGCGCTCCATTTCGTCGTAATTTTTTGTAAACAAATGAGGTTCAAACGAGTGTAAAATGTAATATTTAAAATAAAGATTTTTTAGATAAAAACCTGCTAAAAGTGTGAAGTGAAAAATGTGATTAAAGTGTGTTTAATGTGGTGAAATAGCTTGTTGAAATGTTCGAATTTTGCGAATTTTTGAACTTTAAGGTCGAATATTTCGTTTGCGGTACCTATAACCCTATATATTTTTTATCTTATCAGGAGGCCTTCCTCTTTCCAACTGGTACCAACGGAATCATAATCGTGCCTCCGACGCGAATGGACTTATGTTTACTCTAGTATTGGTCCGACCACGGTTATTTTTTGATGTGCGGCCGAAGGCCGCCAATGCAAAGGAGTTCAACGCGAAGGCTCTGAAGACGCTAAGGTGTTGATCTAACCAGAGGGGGCTTTTTGCTGCGCGGCCGAAGGCCCTCAATGCAAAAAATAATTCGAAAATCTAATAAGGTGTGATTTATTTCCTGCCATTAGGGTATTTTTTGTTTTCTTTTTTATTTTTGTAAGTAAATTATAAATATGTATATAAGTAAACTCTGAATATTGGTTAGAAAGCAACCCTTTTATTATTATGTTAACAAAAAAAATTTAACAAAAGTTATAGAGTTGATGTTGATGTTGTTGTTGTTTTAACGGTTATCAGTCCCCGTTAGAATGGTGAGGGTTATCAGTGTTGTCGTCGTAGTATATCTCATAAAGCTTATCGTTCCATCGAATGTGATATTCGCCGTAACCAATATGCAAAAGACCTCAAATCTTTCGCAGAAACTTTCTCTCGAAAGCTTGCAACGTCGAGTCATCAGTTGTTGTTGTTGTAACGGCAGAATCTGCCGAGTTGACAGTCCTTGGCTGGATAAAAGTCCGGGTCCGTTCCGGTTTTCGTAGACCCGACCGTCGTTGGAACGGTCATCAGTTGTTGTCATGGTCCATGCCTCTGCACCATATAGCAGGACGGGAATAATGAGCCGTTCTCACGACAGTCGGATCTACGAAAACCCGAACGGACCCGGAGTTTTATCCGGCCAAGGACTGTCAACTCGGCAGAATTCTGCCGTTACAACAACAACAAAATCAACGGGAATAATTGGCGACTTATAGAGTTATATTTTTGTGCGCCGAGAGAGGACTTTACTTCTCAATTTTCTATTCAGTCCAAAGTAGCACATGTTTGCAAGAGTTATTCAGCTGACATTGTTGTTGGTGTTAATGCTGGTTCCAAGATAGACGGAATTATCTACAACTTCAAAGTTATGATTGTCGACAGTGACGTGAGACCAGACCCATTTGCTTTGCTTTCTTGTTCTGTCTGGAGAAAGCAGAACTAGCGGCGCGGGTTGAGACCGATAATATCAACATCATCAGCATACTCTAGCTGCTGTACACTCTGATAAAAGATTGTACCCGCTCGATTTGCTTCTGGAGCTCGAATTATTATCTCCAGAAGAATATTGAAGAAGTCGCATGATAGGGCGTTTTCTTGTCTGAAAACTCGTTTGGTATCGAACGGCTCGGAGAGGTCCTTCCCGATCCTGACGGACCTTTGGTGTTGCTCAACGTCAGTTTACACAGCCGTATTAGTTTTGCGGTAATACCAAATTCAGACATCGCGGCATAGAGGCAGCTCCTTTTCGTGCTGTCGCAAGCAGCTTTGAAATCGACGAAGAGGTGGTGTGTGTCGATTCTCTTTCCACGGATCTTTTCCAAGATTTGGCGCATGGTGAATATCTAGTCGGTTGTTGATTTCAGGTCAAAAACCACTCTGATAAGGACCAATCAGTTTGTTGAAGGTGGGCTTTAATTTTTCACACAATACGCTCGATAGAACCTTATATGCGATGTTTAGAAGACTTACCCCACGTTAGTTAGCGCAGATTGTGGGGTCTTCCATTTTTTGGATTGGGCAGAACACATTTAAATTCCGATTGTACGTAAGGAGCTTGAAAATCCGTCCCACAGTTCCCTCTTACCGAGTTGTTGACGAGTGCTCAGAGAGCAGGCGTGGAAGTCGAGTAGAAAATCATTCGGGTGTCTGTTGTGTTTGCATTTTCTCGACGTCGAAAATTTTTTGTGTTTGTTTACGTGAGTTTTTTGCTGCATAGAGATGAGTGCGAATCTTGGCTGCAACAAGAAGTAGTCCGAGTCAATGTTAAGACCTCGGAGCGTACGCACGTCTAAACACTGGAGACTTGTCTTTGGTCTATCACAACATGATGGATCTGGTTGGTGGTGTTTCGGTCCGTAGACGGCCGGGTAGCTTGATGTTATTTCTTATGCTGGAATCTAGTACCACAGGTACTACTCGGCGACAGAGTCTCGATCCCACCATGAATCCCACAAAAAATTTGCGCTCCTTTATATGGCCATTGCAGTAAAAGCCATAAGGATCTACTCGCCTCAGACCTTGTCCCGTCCATCGCATTTCTTGGACGGCGATGATGTTATCCTCTTAATGAAGGTTTAGTCGATATGAAGTTAAAAATATAAGGGTATAATTCATTATAAATGAGTAAAGCATGTTCTGTAATTTTTATTGAGATAACTCTAGTATTGGCTGATATATCCAGCATAAAGTCATCTGGAAGTTCGAAAATCATTATATTACTCGTATGTATATGGGGTTAACCTGATTCAACCCATTTTTGACACACAGAATTATTATTGTCAGGAAAGGATTATCTCTGAATTTCAAATGTATATATATATTCACACATTGACCAACATTTCCGCTCAAAAGGCAAGTATAGATACAGGGGTCTAAATAATCGGTACCGAGGGAACAGTTTCGGTTGAACTTGGACCTATTTTTTGGTCATAAGATGACATACTTTAAAGGAATTATTAGCGCAGAATTGTATCCCTTTATATAAATTACTTCTTCGTTTGTATACTAGAAAGTGAAAGAATTAAATGGAATTTTAGCACTGTGTTATATGGAAAGTAGGCGTATCTATAGCCGGATTTCAACAATTTTCCGCACCGAGAGAGAAATATAAGAAGTATGCTACGTATTAAATTTAGTCGAAATCGGTCGGTCGGGATGTCGAGCTCGAATTATGTAAAAAATACATATCCCCAGTTACATGTTGCCCTACAGGATATCAACCGAATATTCTCGTAGGTGCTCTACTTCGTGTTGCAAACCGTTTGGACTAGGCGAATTTAACGCCCTCCACGATCTTTAGCATTCCTGCCTGTCAAATAGCGTAAGGGGATGGAGCTAGTGGAACAGATTGACGATTCGACCTTCTGCACAATGAATGACAAAGCCCCCACCAGTGTTATGGGCACCTGTAATATCTCGCCCGATATAACCATTGCTAGCAGTAGTCTGATGAGTAGTATAAGCTCGTGACCTATGCTAATTCTTGCATCAGACCTTTTCCCCATAGTTATCTTGATTAAGAAACCTCCCGACTTTATTTCTGTGGACAACCGCCTCTTCGGTAACTTTAGCAAAGCTAACTGTGTCGGCTTCACAGAATTTATTGAGAACATCTTCACCGTTTTTCCCATTTGTACTGACGTAATCGCTGGCGAACATCAATTTCGCAAGGTGATCGCTGCAGCTACCTCTCGCTTCATTCCGGCTGGAAAAAAAGCAGAATTCCCCCCTAATTTGCCAACCGAAGCAGCTGTATTAGCTAATGAGCGCGACACCTTACGCCATGCCGATCCTTGTGCCTCTTCCGACCCGAAGAAGTGCACAAGACATTTTAGTCGGCAATTTATACTGCACCCTTCGGCCAATACTGCCAAAAGATTCCGCATCCCTTACTTTCATTGTTGAGGATGCAAAATCATCCAAATCCATTGACCCTGATGGAATCAACATGCTTATGATAAATCATCTAGGTTCGATGGGAGTAAGCTACCTCACCAAGGTCCTCAACCTATCGCTGACCACTCTTGAAATACCTGATGTGTGAAAAGTCTGAAGACTGGTTCCACTACTGAAACCAGGGAAACCCACCAACACAGGGGAATTCTGCCGTTACAACAACAACAACAACAACCAACACAGGGGAATCTTATCGTCCGATAACTCTCCTCTCCCCAGTAGTGTTAGACACTTGAGGCCTTGCTACTCCCGACCTTCACTCACCACCTAAGCCTAGTCAACCACCACCATGGATTCTGAAAACTGCACAGTATCATCACAGCACTTAGCGCCATAAAGACTTAGATAGTTCGTGGCTTTAACCAGAAACTACCCGGTGAGAGAACGATCCTCGTAGCGTTGGAGTTGTCAAAAGCTTTTGACACAGTCATTCACACAACGTTACTGCAGGACATCTAACAAACTACGCTCCCTCCAGGACTGAAGAGGTGGACCATGAACTATACCATAGAAACTCTAAACTGAGAAGAATTAAAGATCCGTAGGGTGGTGTCCTCTCCCCACTACTGTTAAACTTTTATATCTCAAAACTCCCACAGCCACCAGAGGGAGTTCCTATACCCTTGTACGCTGATTATTTCACGATAGTGTCGTCGGGCAATGAAATCGATTGCATGTATTCAAAGGTATACGGTTATCTCTCCCATATTTCTCGTTTCTTCTCTGCACGGAACCTAACACTCTTGCCCACTAAATCCACAGCGACAGACTTGTCCTTAGGATTGCAATCAATGGCGTCAAGATTCCGACTCAATAATCCTAAGATTTTAGGCGTAACTTTTGATAGTCTATGCTCAAAGCCGCTACAAAATCCTCCAGTCGCTAGCCGGCAACACGTGGAGAAAGGACAAAGAAACGTTGTTGGCAACTTACAGTGCAATCGGCCAGATGGTTCTAAACAACACCGCACCAATATGGTCGGCTGGATGCAGTGGAACGCAGACGAGGCAGCTGCAGACTTGTCAGAACACTGCACTCCGGACCAAGACAGGTTGCCTGTTGATGTCTCCTATCGAACGTATACATATGTAGTAAAGCCCATATGCTCCCAGTTAATGAACATAATTAACTCCTCTCCAAGGAGTTTTTGCTGGGATGCATTTGCAGTAATCACCCCTGCATTCAGCTGCTTGGAGAGGAATGGTCTCCTAGCAACATCAAGTGGCCATTCCTCAATTACGTCGACGACATTAGACAGTACGCCGACCAGACATCAAGCGCTACAAACTACCGACAAGCACTGACCGCCTTCACAGTGGAGACATCAACACATTCACCGACTCTATTAGAGTGAATGGCGTATTTGGAGTGAAACCACCATCCATTGCAGACGAAGAGCTCGCGTTGTTGCGTGTTAGATAAGATAAGATAAAGAATGAGGATTGCACCGCGACCTAGGGTCTATTGTGCCCTCTACTAACTCACAGCGTCTCACTTAGCCCCAGAAAATTGATGAATTCCAATATTCTGCTAGTTGCAGATGAGGTGATGTGATCCCTATTTAGAAACATGGATCCAAGGGCCTTAATCCTGCGTCTGCAGATTGCTGGGCAATCCATTAGCAGGTGTTCTGGAGTTTCGGATTCCCAGAACCGGCAATTTGCGCAAGAAGCTAGGCCCATGTTAAATAAATGCTTCTTGAGTTTGCAATGGCCGGTGTAAAAGGCGACCAGTAGCCTGACTTTATCTCTTGGGAGATTGATTATGAGTTTAAACCTCTTGAGGCTGTAACCCTTCATTAGCAGCTTTGCGTGACGCAAGCCAGGAAGTTGTTGCCAATGTATCTCCCTACCCACTGCTGCATCCTTGCAGAACTGTTCCTTTATGGTGTGGGGACCTACCGCTATGAAGGGTCCTGGCCTTATCATGTTGGTGGATGCTGCAGCGCGGGCAAGCTCATCGGCCAATTCGTTTCCAGCAACGCCTTTGTGGCCCGGCACCCAAATAAGGTGCACTTGGTTGCATTCTGCCAGACTATTCAGCCGATCTATACACTCCTGCACYAATAGCGATTTTACCTCGTATGATGAGATCGCCCTGAGTGCCGCTTGGCTATCGCTTAGTATGGCTATACGTTCGTTGCGATAGCCGCGATGGAGGTTTAGCTCTACGCACCGACTTATAGCAAATACCTCCGCTTGGAATATACTCGGAAACCTTCCCATAGGTATGGAGAGTTTTGCACGTGGTCCTGCGACCCCTGCACCAATTCCCTCCGAAATACAGCCGTCGGTGTACCACCTGATCGAGCTATCCCTGAGTATTAGCTCGAGAGCGGAGTCGCTCCAATCGGCCTTGTTGCCGAGGGTGATCTGGAACTTTTTAGTGAAGTTTAACTTTTTGGTAATGCAGTCCCTAGGAAGAAGTGCCAGTGGTATGGTGCCGCTTAGCTCTTCCACACGTTGGGACGAGATCACTTTACCTTTGCCGGTTYCCTCTGCTGTCATTTGAAGCAGAGTGTGCTTGGCGACTTGACCAATTACTAGGTGCAGCGGGGTGAGCTCCAGCATGGCCTCAAGTGCCGCTGTCGGGCAGGTACGCATTGCTCCTGTCATACAGACACATGCAAGCCTTTGCAGTTTCGACAGTTTAAGTTTAACCGTCGATTGCGATGATTTCGGTGCCCATACCACCGCTCCATAAGTAATAATTGGTCGCACTATCATAGTGTACAACCATCTGATAATCCTTGGTTTGCACCCCCAGGATCTACCAGCCAGCCGGTTGCACACCATTAGTGCCTTTGTAGCTTTGACCATGGTCAGGTCGATATGCTGCTTCCATCTCAGCGTGAGATCGCAGAGAGTACTCACAAATTTTCCTCTGGCTATAATAACAATGTCGTCCGCATATCCTTGACAGCGGATTCCATTGTTAGTCAACAGCACCAGCAGCTCGTCCACGACTATGCTCCACAACAGGGGGGATAGCAGGCCTCCCTGTGGGCAGCCCCTTGTAGTACCGAGACGAATATTGGTGCCTCCTGATGTGGTGTCAGCTATTCTGGTGCGCAGTACCGCCTCTATCCACCTGCGCATTGTAGGTGCCACATTACTTTTCTCCAGTGCCCTTACTACGCTCCCGTGGGA